GCGCTTCCCTAGGTATTTTAATTGGTTTTGGTGCCGCCAATCTATGATCACGCCGCGGCGCCTCACTGTAACCTGGCGGCTTAGGCATTTACCTAGTTTGAGGGAGAGACAATACACTAGGTTCTGGAGACTGCTGTGAGATATAAATATAAATTGTATGAGGATTTTAAGACATAATGGGAATTTGTAATGACATTATGACGTCTAATAGAAGGGAATGTATAAATGTTACATGTTACTTAGACTTCAAGTTGTTTGAATCAAAGGCATGGTTTACCTGAAGCACTGCTGACGCCATTTTTGTCGAGGTACTTGTGCGTTAGCACCTTCGGGAGTCATCACGTTCACCAGCTTACGGCGAAGCCAAACAGCATATGCCTGCGGATCAGAGAATGGAAAGTCAGTATAATTCTTCTCAAACAGGAATACTGGGATTGTAAATAAGTTATAGAACAGATTGAAAAGCCTAAACTTCTTGAGACGAACTCAATTCCATTTAAGTTACAAACCACTTACAAAAGACTCAAAGACTGAGTGTGGGAGAGCCATACTTCGGCACGAATGGGCCGGCTCGACCGGAGTGATACCACGGCCGAGCAGAAAACCGACGTGAAGCAACACTTGCGTTGTGTTTCGTCGTGTGAGTGAGGTTACCGGAGCCCAAATTACCCCCTCCCCTTTCCCAATCTCCCCAATCCCTGAATCCCCAACAATCCTTAAACTTCCCACCCCTCCCCATCCTATCCCCAAAAGGCCGGTAACGCACTTGTAACGCCCCTGGTGTTCCAGGTGTCCATAGGCAACGACGATTGCTTACCATCAGGTGATCCGTCTCCTCGTTTACTGGCTTATCCCATAAAGACAATAAAGCTGCTATAAAAATGTGATATTCTCCAAGTCCATCACCGCGTACGCTACTAACGAGGAAACTATTAGAGCTTTTCTCGGATCCACGGAGGACTTAAGGAACCGCGGAGGACTTATGGTTACCGGGGCTCCGGCTCGAAGTGCAGAAGTAGGAACGGAGTGGTTTTTAGTCAGTCAGAGTCTGACACCCTTCCCAACTCACCCAGGAGGAAGAAATCATTTAATGACTCCCTCTCATAAAAAGTAGCATTTTCAGTAAATTTACGTGTGTAAACCATTATTTTTAGTTAATTTACTGTGTCTCACTATAGTTATTGTAAATAAAAATATTCTCCAAGCTTGGAATAGGCTCACCCCCTGTTACATGGGACTCATAACATAAAATAGTGAAATGTGGGTGCTACATTGTACAATGGCATTAGGTGCCGTAATGTACACCTCTGCCTACCCCTTCGGGGATAAAAGGCGTGATGCTTTGTTTGTCTCCAAGCTTGATAAAACCACAAAATTAAAATCTAAACCCAAAATAACTCTTACCTTAGGCTTCCACAGAGTCCCTAAAGTGTCCAGATTGACCCTCCCGTCCTCGGAGTCAGCAGCGACCTCTACCGCCTGCACCAGCACTCTCACTCCATCCTTACTGACTTTGCCATGCTCATACTGACGCCAGTACGAGATTTTCAGAGCTTTTAGCACTCTTTGGTGCGCCTCCCTGGAGTATTGTTAATTTATAGTTTTAAACCTTTTTTAATATATCTGTGTTTTAAACAGTGTACAGACTTTTTTAACACCTTATTAACCTGTTTTACGCAAATAAAGGATTTGTCAATACAAATTCAATACAAACAGTACAATTACTGTATCGAAGTATTGGAGAAAATCGTCCCCCCATGAGCCAGAAAACTACAGATGAAGAATGGCTGTTACATGCAGTATGAGTACTTTTTCCCTACCCCTGTATTTGGGATTTAAATGGTCTTTTTAATTTATTTAGCTAAAACTATGATCTTAATCGCTCTACATCCTTAAAATCTCATCTAAAACCTGTTATTTTTCATGTTCGATTCCCGCACGGAACAACTGTATGATCCACAGATAGTTGTTCCGGGTCTGGGTGTCATGTGTATGAGTACTTGTATGTTTGTAAATGCACTCACGACACAGGAGAAAATCCTAGTGTGTGGAAACATTAAAAAAAATACTATGTAGGTATTTCATTTCAACATCTAAATCCTCATCCACACTAAATGCCAATAAATTATTGTAAAGTAAAATAGCTCCCATTCTCGCCTGCAACGCCATCTACCATTACAAATAAACTAATAAGCACAAATACTCATTAGAAGAAAATTACTTGGTCATTTCAGCGAACTCCTTCTTAGTCGGTTCATTAGGTATTTCCCTCTCACAATCAGGGCAGGTGGTGTAGTGATATCCCATATAGGTGTCGTCCTCGCTGTCCTCGTCTCTGCCTGACATTTGAAGCTGGTACGGGTGCTTTATTGTAGTACCTGAGTTAGAGACGGAAAGAGTCTCTGTTGTAAGGTTTTTCTTAAGGTTTTTTTTATACTAGATAGGTTGATGGTTCACATAATTTAAAGGTCAAACTGATAATCTGTATGCCCCCCATAAAGCAATGTCAACCTCATCAACCTCTTACCTCTCTCAAGAAATTATTTACTAGTGTTCCAAGTTATATCTCCTTCACTTAATATCACTTCTGATATCTTTACATAACATAACATAACATCACGCCATTTATCCTCGAAGGGGTAGGCAGAGGTGCACATTATGCCACTGTACAATGTTACACCCACTTTTCACTATTTATGTTATGAGTCCCATGTAATAGGGAGTGAACCTATTGTCATATACCGGGCATAATTCCAGACTCCGTGCTACTACTGAGATTTTTTTGAAAAATGCCTGTAATACTTTGTCGGACCCGGGAATCGAACCCAAGACCTCTTGTCTATGCACTTGCGACCATTCGGCCAACGAGGCAGTCTGATATCTTTAAAACTTATAAACATGAAAATTGAAGACTCTTTTCCTCATCCCTTTCCATAAGTAGCCAGTTAATAGTGAAATACCAACCAACAGTAACCAGATCCCAGTTAGCGTCAGCGAGGAATTTGTCCATCTTCAGCATAGAGATACATCGATCTCTGGTCATCATGACCCTTTTCACACAATTCGTCATATTCGCTTTCTTCGCAAGGGAGATCTCTGCCAAGCCGAGGACCTTTAGCACTTTCGTCATACTCGTGGCGTTTAGAAGTAGGGAGAGGATCACTAGACCTGCTGTTTGTATTATGAAGATCTGGAAGCGAAAGGTTGGGGGAAGCTGTGAATTATCCAATGTTTTGTAACAGTAACTTGGACTTCAACTTTTTAATCACAATTAATCGCTAATCCCCGTGGTAATTAATGTTCATTACTTCTCTGGACGAGAAGACGCCTTTGTTCAGTAGTGGGACAGCAGATATGGACAATACAATCACATGTGGTTTTTATTACATTGCGAACTTAGCCATATTTTACCAGGAGGCAAATTAACAAATAGGGTAGATGACTAATTTTTATTTCAATGTCCGTCTGGTAGATTATTTTAAAACATTACACACGTATTTGAAATGTCGCGTGACGTCACTTCTATGTACATTTTATACGCAGAAATGACGTTTTAGCCCCCACTCCTAAACTTTGATTCGTTTTATCTAAATATCATTTTATTATACAACAAAATAAAAAAATATGTGTCTAATATTTTTTCATTTAACTGTCGGACTATTTAGATTTTTAATTTTCATACCCTGCCATCATCCCAATTATAATAGTTAAAAATTCGAATTGAAATTATATTAAACAAAATTAATAGTATTTCAACTCAGATCTCAATGATGGTAATAACTTCCACTACAAGACCATGGGCACAAAGACAATATATATTTGTACTTACCTCTCCAGCCTCAGACAATACAGGAGTCTGTAAAACAAGCAGTGCTAGACACAGAGACAGTGGACCCCTGAGCCCGCCCCATACACACGCCAGGCAGTGCTGCCACGTCATGCCGTACCCCACGTGGCGAAGGAGGGGGGTCATTGCTGAGTATACCATCAACCTTAAGGGGGAGGCAGTGTAAGTATATTTGTATTCATTTGGAGAAATGGTGCGGATTTTGGTGACAGGATCTTGTCTTACCCTTTGGGTACGGAGTACCCAACAATTGATTGGTATACATATTTTCTGATTAAAAGAGCTAGAACATATGGTTATATGAAATGAATTCAATGTATGCCAAAATGTTAGTTTTTTAACTATAAGTGAAAGGTATGTGAGTAATTTATTTATTTATTTTTAAACTTTGCCCCACACTAGGATTTTCTCCTGTGTCGTGGGTGCGTTTACAAACATACAAGTTCACATACACAATGACACCCAGACCCGGAACAACAATTTGTGGATCACAAAGAGTTGTTCCGTGCGGGAATCTAACCCGCGACACGTTGCGCGGCAGCCGATTGCCCAGCCACCAACCGTGTTGTACACCAAATTATATATTTGAAGACCTTTCGGAAGGAAAAATAGAAGATAGTATAGTTATCAGATCATATAGCATAATTTAATTGCACTTACATAATTGCCCTTAACATAATATGACGCCTTTTATCCCCGAAGGGGTAGGCAGAGGTGCATATTATGCCACTGTACAATGTAACACCCACTTTTCACTATTTATGTTATGAGTCCCACGTAATAGGGGGTGAGCCTATTGCCATATACCGGGCACAATTTCAGACTCCGTGCTAATACTGAGAATATTAAAAAAAACCCAGTAATACTTTGCCCGACCCGGGAATCGAACCCGAGAGCCCTTGCCCGGCAGTCGCACTTTCGACCACTCGGCCAACGAGGCAGTCTAAAATTGCCCTTCATTCTACCCATTTATTCCCTTAGAAAAAAACCAACTCACCTTGAGCAATAAACCGTAGTATACGTCACAAATATAAGCGACACCTGCCGGACACTGATCACATCACTAACTTTCTCAAATATCACCACGCCAACCATAGTGAACACTAGAGTATTCGCCGCGTGGGCCAATATCCCCCAAAACGTAGACAACACTTGTTCCACATCTCCAGCAATGGTCGACTTCTTATTACTCACTAAAACGCCTATAATCACTGTACCCAACAACCCGGACACATATAAAAACTTTTCACCGATATAAAATGTCAGATACGCCCCAGCGATCGTTACTGTCACCGCGCACAAAAGATCGTTATATGTTATGGATAGTAAAGTGTCCGTTATCTTCCCCAGCACTAGTCCTAACAAAATTCCACCGCCAGCGTATCTTATAAGGAATATTGTGATCTGTGCAGCTTCCGTCATGGCGTAGGATATGTAGCCGAACACTGCTGTGAACTCGATCATGACTGTGACATCCCCCATCAGTCCTTCACCAAGGAGCAAGACCCCTATGTACTTCCCTTTAGACATAGTCTTCAATTGCCTTACGACTTCCAAAGGATATATAGGCGAGCATATGATCCCGAATAGAAAAGCAGTAGCGAAGTCCCACGACGATTCTATTAAATAAAAAGCCATGAATGCCACCATGAGTGCTGTTAACAACGCTCCAGGGACACCAACTAATAAAATCTGCGGGATACTCCTCCAAAACGAGTGCGCATCGACACTGTACGACGTACGAAATATCATTACTGGTAGGAAAGCTACGAGCAAAATGTTGACGTCCATAAAACAGACTTGGACTATCGGTTTGACGGTGGGATATCTATTGGCACAGAAACCGGCGAACCCTCCGAGAGTGAACATCACCACTCTGTACGGTATGCACATTCCTAGACGCAGCATTATGGCCCTCACGATCACTCCTATAAGGAGGGTCATGAAGATGAAGAGGTACCCAAGAGAGGTTGGGTAGGCTATGGTAGGCCGTCCGCGGTCCTTTAACCGGACGCCTTCCTCCGAAGAGTTGAGGAACTTCCCTGATAGAATTACATCGTCATCATCATCCAGTTGTCCATTTATAGTTGTTATTAAAAAAAGAAATAGTAAAGATATCTTGTTCAACGACATTTTTTCCGTGGCTGTATAGATTTTGAGTGATACTGGCGTCCGGAAGGTGTGCGTATTGTGTATATACCAAAGTAATAAATACTTTTTAGTATGATTGGAGAAGATTGGATTAAATATGACCTAATGATATTTTCATTATTGATTGAAAAATCGAATAAATGAATGTTCTTAAAGCATAGTCAAGTTCACTATTTTCGAATATAATCATAATATAATTCATATGAAACAATTAAATTTAAAAAAAATGTAAGCCAGCAGTAAAATAAAAAGCCCTGAATACTAAATTAAAATTATAATTACGAAAACGAACTTAAAAATACAATACAATAAAAAAACGAATCGGAGTCGAAATAAATTACAAATAAAAAGTACATTTTTAATCATAAATCTAGAGGAAATAATAATCTTACGCCATTTGTCTTGACAGGACTTTTGTAGGGGGCAAACTTCTGTGGGGTCTTTCGAGGCGACTTTCTGGGGGTCACATTTTTTTTCTCAAGTTTCTCCAATTCTTTTAATTCTTTGTACGCAGCCTCTAACATACGTTTCTTCCAGTCTTCATATGGCTCTATTTTATCTTCAAAAACTTCTTCAACTTTAGGCACATCAATCTCCATTAATTCTTCATTTTCCACTGAAAAAATGCGAAAAAAAATACGTTAAAAATGTATTTTTCAGGATATTTTCGTTAAATCAACAAGTAAATGTCTTATTAAAGGTTTAACGAGGTAATAAATAAACATAAATAGTAAAAAAATATTTGACAGCGGTGGGATTCGAACCCACGCCCTTTCGGACTGGTGCCTAAAACCAGCGCCTTAGACCACTCGGCCACGCTGCCTACATGAAAGTAGGTTGAATTTAGCGACGATGTATTATGGTAAGAATAAATTATAACTTAACACTTTTCTTTCTTGAAGAGGGTAAGTAGAATCTAAGTGTGGGAGAGCCATGCTTCGGCACGAATGGGCCGGCTCGATCGAAGTGATACCACGGCTTCACAGAAAACCGACGTGAAGCAACGCTTGCGTTGTGTTTCGTCGTGTGAGTGAGGTTACCGGCGGCCTAATTACCCTCCCCTTCCCTAATCTCCCCAATCCCTGAATCCCCAACGATCCTCAAACTCCTAATCCCCAAAAGGCCGGTAATGCAATTGTAATGCCTCTAGAGTTCCTGGTGTCCATGGGCGACGCCGATCGCTTACCATCAGATGATCCGTCTGCTTGTTTACCGGCTTATGCCATAAAAAAACGGTGCATTATTCAAAGTCCGTAAGCATAATCTTTTTGTTAATAGTGTTACGAATCCTATGTAATAAGATAATAAAATTACTGGCACAAATCGAGACTCCAAAAAGGTTTAATATTTTAAGTTCAAGGACCGAAAAGTTATTCAGACAAATTTTGTAATAGATACCCATAAACAATTTTCTTTTAATTCGCCTGCCAATTTCCCGTTCCCAGTAGCTGTGCTGGCCAAAGCAATATTTATTATGATACATATTTAAGATAAAATGCGTGACGTTGTATTTTTTATTAAAATTGGGTAGTTTAGGAGGGTATCAAAATTAAAAATCTAATTAGTCCGTCAGTTACATAATGAAAAAATATTAGACAAGTATTTTTTTATTTTCTCGTATTAAGTTGCAATACTTAGACAAAATGGCGCTAAGTTTAGGAGTGGGAGGTTGTTACGTCATAACGTGCTACGAAATGTGGCACGCTGTGACGTCACACGATATTTCAAATTATTATATCGTCGAAAGTAATTACTTTTGTGAGAAAAGAAAAAATACGTGTCTAATGTTTTAAATTAATGTACCAGACGGACATTAAAATAAAATTTAGGAAACTACCCTATTTACAGGAAGGAATTAATGTATTAGTTATGCTAGGTTCTTTATTTACCGGTTTCAGCAGATTTCTTAGTTTGTCGTCCCTTTTTCTTGGCTGCCTCGAAGTGCAGGTCAGTGAACTTTGTCCAGTCAGCATCCAGCTTGGTCCACTGTGCAGGCTTCAGTCTTGACTTCTCAATTACTTTACTCTTTGCTACTTTCACTTTACTCATCCTGGAAATGTTTAATGAAGAATTAAATTAGTTGTTTCAAAAATGTTAAAAAATATTTTGTCGTCCCATAACAAGAGAAGATATAAAATTGGGTTTCTCTATTTAATTAAGACGCAGGAGAGTTATTGTTCGGTAGAATTCTGTCTTGACTACTCTAGCGGCGTTTGTTAGAAAGTAAACTGGCGTTTGCTCCCCTATCGGAAAGCCACAAAAATATCCGAAATATGTTTTTGTATGCGATCCTAGATTACTCGAACATTTACTCACAAAAAAATATTTATTTATTTTTATTTAACTATAAAACAAGTGTGTACAGGTGGACTTAATGCCTTGGTCATTGTCTCCCATTTAATCATCTATCTTCTATCTATATCTATCTATTTACATATAATAAAATCGTAGAAAATACAAAACTGTACATTGAATATTTTTTAAATCATACTTGGAGCGTGATCTGCAATCGATACCGAACCCAAAATCTGTATATCCGGGATGATTCCGAAATTAGATGGATTTACTTCAAATTTTGCATTAATATTACCAACAAGTCGGGTCAACATATCGGCTACATATTATCACGCTACGCGGGAGGAGCCCTATACTAGGTACTGAATCAATACTGACGACATTCGTTACCATAGAATATTCCCTTGATAAAGACTAATTCAAAAGCCTAAATTGTATCAGAGGACATTATTCTACGCGGTCGAAGTCGCGAGCAACAGCTAATAATATTTAAAGTATTATTTATTCCTCTTACCTGCAAGCTTGATAAACAGCCATACAGACATATTGAGGTAGATTTAGATCCACTTCCTGAAAATATTGAAAGAATATGTTATTCCCTATACAATACAAGAATGCAACACATGATGTCTTTAGAGTTGCAGACTATGGTAACCATTTAGGATCAGAGGGCTTACTTACTTACTCTTGAATCCAATTCCGATCTATCAATTAGATTTGTGAAATATCGAACTCTTGAGTTGCAAAAATAACGGCCATTACATCCGTATTGCGTGGATATTGAATGAACCAAATGGTATTGAGTTTGGCTTTATATTTAGTAGGCTGAATTCCATTTTAGCAGCTACGATAGGGGTTGTATAGGTTCGATATTGAATAATTATTGAGTTTTTATTGGATTGATATTAAGATTGGTTTCAAGAGTAAGCACCCTGATGGCCAATACAGTATTATAAAAGAAACTAAAGTATTAACTATTTTATTTATTGGTCAGGTGGTCGCAAGTGCAACTGCCGAGTAAGTGTTGAGTCTTTTTATTGTATGTAGTGACCATGGACACTGGCAGAAGTCGCTTGGACTTACTAGGTGGACCGACGACATCATTAGAATTGCTGGAAGCCTTTTTTTTAAGGGGGGAAAATCATCGTATGACTGCTCCCGCCCGGGTGAGGCGGGAGGGAGTGTCAGACTCTTACTGACTAAAAACCACCCCGTTCCTTCTCCTGTACGTCGAGCCGGAGCCCCGGTTACCCATTAGGTTCTCCGCGACATAGTATATAGTATAAGGTAAAAGAAAGTCGTGTTAGTTACACTATTTATATCTCAAGAACTGTTTAATCGATTTGGATGACAATTGATGGGGAGGTAGCTTAGAACCAGGAAACGGGCATAGGATATTTTTTATCTGATTCATTTTATATTATAACTTTCGTGAGACATACCAAATCATTTATTATGTTTTCGGCTTACTCACGTAATCATGAGCAGCATTTCGCGACCTGCGACGCGGCGACTGTCGCGCTGCTACTGCTGAATATGAGCCTCTAGCATGGCTTGAAACTAATCGAGTTCCTCGTCAAATATTTACGTGAGAAAGCCGAAAACATAATAACTGATTCTTTTTACTGAAAATCAGGAACGGGAACGGGAAAAAACATCGATTGCGCGTACGAAGCCACCGGCAGAAGTTAGAAGTAATAAATAAAAGCTCACCACTTTAGCAAGTCGCTGATACTCTGCGAGTATCCTGTCAGCTAGCTCCTGCACTCCGGTGCACTGCAGCGTGAGACACAGCATGGTGGTGCTCAGCCTGTCACTGTTCAGCTCAAGAAGATTCTGCACCACTTTCTTTGTGTTAGTGTAAGTTGAAGTCTTCAGCCCTGAGTATTTTACTGCTGATTTCTGTAATGTATGGATGATGGATTTATTGGTGGTATATGGTTTTCGAAATCATCATCAACAGCCTATAAGTCTGGCCACTGCTGACCAGAGGCCTCTACTTACACGATGAAGGTTTGAGCATTAATCAGACGAGAGAATTTTAAGTGTGGGAGAGCCATGCTTCGGCACGAATGGGCCGGCTCGACCGGAGTGATACCACGACCTCGCAGAAAAACGACGTGAAGCAACGCTTGCGTTGTGTTTAGCTATAGTAGCGACACTAGATGAATTTGCACCGCTCAAACCAATTAATAACAGAGAAAATCTTCCCCAAGACATCCAAAACTTGATAAAATGTCGAAACAAGGCAAAAAACACTGCATGGCGTTTGAGATTTACTAATCAATACGGCGAATTGAAACGACAATATAATAGATTAAAACGCCTCCTAGCTACGAAAATCATAAACCACAAAGAAGAAACCTGGAAAAAAATCCTAGAAAACAAAACAGACAATAGAAAGAAAATGTGGAGTATACAGAGAGCCATAAAAAAACCGCCTCAGAGACTACCCTACATAGAAAATTGCAACACAGAACTGGAGATCATAGATAATTTAGTACAAAGTGCCATTATTCGTACATCCAATATTTCTCGTGATGATGAAAATACGGAGAAATGCACACCATTTCAACCGTTAGAAGCAACATCACATGCTGAATTAAAAATAGCTTTAAGGAAATTCAAAAACCGAAAAGCGCCTGGCCCTGATGCAATAAGAGCGGATTTTCTAAAACTCGGTGGTGACACTGTGGTAGCAATATTTAAAAGAATAACGGACTATATTCTGAATACGGGTTACTTTCCTAAGCGATGGAAAGAAAGCACATGTATTTTTCTTCACAAACCAGGAAAAGACTACAAACAGCCTAAGTCTTACAGACCCATTAGCCTTCTTAATATTCTGGGAAAATGGGCCGAACGCATAATCCTCTCCAGATTAAACACAGAAATAAATGAACTGATTCCAGAACATCAACATGGATTCGTTCGTCATAGGGGTACAGCAACACAAATATTGAGAACTGGCAAATGTATCACAGACGCATTGGCGAAAGGCCACAGTGTAGCTATGATTTCAACAGACCTCAGTAAGGCATTCGATTCTATAAATCATAAAGGACTTATAAAGAAACTTTTTGAAGCTGGAGCCCGTAACAATATTATAAAGATTATAGAAAACTATCTATCCAATAGAACCACTAACGGCAGATTTAGAACAACCACAGGCACAGAAATAAATGTACCCTACGGAGTCCCACAAGGCTCGATTCTCGGGCCCGTGCTTTTTAATCTGTACGTCTCTGACATACCGAAGCAACGAATCGCAGGTTTAATGCTTTCCCAATATGCAGATGACTTATGCATTTTAAACGTAGCGAAGAAACCAGATCACGCCACTAGACGCGCAGAATGGGCAGCGGAGGATGTCATCGACTATTATAAAAAATGGGGCCTCCAATGCAATGTGGAAAAAACGGAGTGTATAATGTTTACTCATAAGAGACCTAGGCAAGGGAATAGCGGATACAGAAATTACATTCAATTGAAAAACGAAAGGATTGAATACAAAGACGAAGTGAAATACCTTGGCGTCATATTCGACAAGAGGCTATCAATGAACAAACACACTAAAGATAGAGTAGAAAAATTGAAACGAATCAGAGGTGCCCTAAACTCGATCATAGGATACCGATCGAAGGTACACACCGAAACAAAGTTACTCATCATACAGGCGTGCCTGCTGCCGGTACTCGATTATGGAGTCATCCAACTGCTACCGAGATACAGTAAAAGCAACCTGATAAAACTAGAAAGACAGTACAGGATGGCACTGAAAGCTGCAGGTAACTTTCCACGTCGCCTCGAAACCAAAACACTTTGGGAAATGCTTGGACAGGACCCGTGGCATCTCAGAGCACACGACCTACACCACGATATGATAGAAAAACTCGAATCACTATCAATCGGAGGCCTAGAAGACCCTGGCGATGCTTACACGAGATATGGCCAATTTAACCCATTCCTCTTGGCTAACAGAATAGGCGAAATAGACTACCTAAATAAAACAGAGAGAAGCAAACCACTTCACAAGAGGACGGCTCCTCCCCGTCAGCATAAACTATAACTCTCAGAGTCATTCTTAAATCATCTTATATTTTATTATTATTTATTAAATACTAAGTAACCCCTGGTCGAGGACCAAATGGGCGGTGATAATAGGTTAAACCCAGTACTTCTCATAATTGCTATGTATAAAATTGTGTGAAAAGAATTCGGCAATAGGCTACAAAAGATCCCTCCCCGGACAAAATGTACCAAAAATACATACCAAATGCACTTGTAAAAATTCTATTTTTAAGTGATGATGTAATAGTATATTTATTTAACTAGAGAAATAAACGTTTATTCTATTCTATTCTATTCTATTCTATTCTATTGCGTTGTGTTTCGTCGTGTGTGTGAGGTTACCGGAGGCCCAATTACCCTCCCCTTCCCCAATCTCCCCAATTCCTGAATCCCCAACGATCCTCAAATAGGGTAGACGACTAATTTTTATTTTAATGTCCGTCTGGTAGATTATTTAAAAATATTAGACACGTATTCTTTATTTTCTCACGGAAACGAATAGTTTTGAAGATATATTGATTTGAAATGTCGCGTGACGTCACTTCTCAGTACATTTTATACTAAGAAATGACGTTTTACCCCCCACTCCTAAACTTTAACTCGTTTTATCTAAGTATTATTTTATTATACGACAAAATAAAAAAATACGTGTCTAATATTTTTTTATTACCTAACTTACGGACTAATTATATTTTTAATTTTCATACCCTGTCATCATCCCCAAAGGCCGGTAACGCACTTGTAACGCCTCGTAGTTATGCAGAAACGTTCCAACCCACAGTAAGTCCCATTGGTATTTGCTATTGGTAGGTTTCGAGCCTGCTCTCTTATGTATGAGAAACAGGTGTCTTAAACCTACAGGCCACCACGACATCACTCGAATAACTGATGAGTATTCAAAGTTAGACATAATTCCTGTAGTGGATACTGAACAGAGTAATTGAATGGAAAATTATAGGTAAAAATATAGAATTTAGAGGCCAATAAATGAAATGGTAAAATTTATTTATTACCTAATTACTTAGATGTGCTATTATTTAACTAACGGAATTGAAAATTACAAGGAACTATGAAGCTTTGGAGTCCTAAAAATATTAATATTTAACCGAATTTTTGAATAAATGACCAACGGAATTGGTAATTGGGTTTGGGGGGGCCCCTCTCTTCAAACCAAATCAAATCTTCAACAACCCTCAAATTCCTAATCCCAAAGGGTCCATAACATAACGCAAATATAACGCCTCTGGTGTTCCAGGTGTCCATGGGCGGCGCCAATTGCTTACCATCAGGTGAATAGTCAAATTGTTTACTGGCTTATCCCATAAAAAATCAATTGTTTTGGGCATATTTATTTAAAATTTTACGTCTAGCAACAATGATCTAATGACAATGGATCTTTATTGTATCATACTTTTGCTTTTTAAGGGGGGAAAATCATCGATTGACTGCTTCTACCTGGGTGAGGCGGGAGGTAGAGTCAGACTCTTACTGACTAAAAACGGTTCTCCGCGACTATTGTATCATACTAGCTGTCCCACTGTTACTTTCAACTCCATATTATATGTAACAAGTTCCAAACAACTTACAATATCTAAATCAGCTCCTAGAATGCTAGCAGCCAAGTCTAGGCAGATGACAATTTTACTGGTGTCAGTTATATTGCTGCCTGCCATATTCTTTGTCTGAAGCAGTCTCTCAAACTCTGCGGCTTTCCTGTAATCATGTACAAGAAGGATGAGATGAGATTATGGATGGTGATTATCTGTACTCAATGATATAAATGTGCAAGTGTAGAAGAGCCATGTTTTGGCACAAATGGGCCGGCTTGACGGTACTGATACCAATACCACGGCCTCACAGAAAACCGACGTGAAAAATGGCGTCGTGTGAATAAGGTTACTGGAAGCCCAATTACTCACGCCCTGCCCAATCCCTGAAGCCCCAAGAATCCTCAAATTCCTAATCCCCAAAAGCCCGTAATGAACTTGGAACTCCATTGGATGTCCATGAGTAACGCTGATTACTTACCATCAGGTGATCCGTCTGTTTGTTGACTAGCTTATCGCATAAAAAGACTGTTAAGACCATAGTCTGTTTATTTTTCTTTCTTGTTCCAAGAATTTATTGTAAGATTTCTGTACTTGGAGAGTGATATATATATATATCTTCTTTGAATGCAGTTAGGAAGTTAGTAGTAACATAATAATTGTAATAAGTAATTGTAATTAAGTACACATTATTTTGGTTAAATTCTGTTAAAAATAGGCATTTGGCATTAAGAACCGTGGTAAATAAGACCCATAATGTAACTGGGGAAAAGTTTGTGTCATATTGCAAATAGGTATCTCTGCATACCATTTGGGAGATTAGAAGGCGTGATGTTATACAGTTACAAAACTTTTTAAAGGTCTTTAGTCTCAGAAAAATATCATGCCTTCGTGTCTACGTAATCGGGCATCCTATGCTATGGTATTAGCTGTATACATATATTAACTAGTGGGATTTTCAGCGTGTTTAATGAGCAATTATATCGAGAAATAACCTAACAAATAACTTTACAGATCTACATTCCAGAACAGTATTCATTTTGTAGATATTATTAAAAAGTAATTAAGAACTTTTAATCTATGTGTTAAAAATCTAATTATGTTATTTTAAAAGTAGTTTTCATTCAAATCGCAGTGGTTTTGTTTACTTACTTTAAAACTTTATCTTCTTCACCCAAACCCAGTTTGCTTGCAATCAGGTACAAAGTTTTGTTGTTAGACGCCATTGTTTTGATTTATTACAAACACTTATACTATAAATTCACTGTTATCGTCACAAAATAAATTAAATTCACAATAAATTCATGCCACAACAAAGCGCGCCATTTGAATGATTTTTGACGTTTCGTAAGATCCAAATCCAATCCGATGAAACCATTCAATCAGCTGTCATTGTCAGATGATTAAATTCATTCAAGGTCATTCATTGCTCTTTAGCATAGACAAGAGAGGAGGGAGAGGGAAAATCCTAGTGATGTAGCGTGAAAATTCAATAAAAATGTACATATTATGCTTTTTGACCATGAAATTGTACAATTTTCGAAATGAATAAAATTCTATTACCATACAATGTAATAATTACAATCAACAAGGTAATATTGCAGTGAAAACTTAAGTATTATTTTCAAATGTAAGATATTAAAAACAGTGAATAGTCGACTAAAACTTAATTAATTTCCTATTCCAGACTATTTTCTGTATATTTCTTTAACTGATTTGTATTTATGAATAAAAATACAATTTTCGATGCATTTCGGTGCTGAAATAAGTGGAAATGAATTTTTTTCAGAAATATGCACGACCTGACATTGTTTATCTCTGTCGTTCATGGTCGGAAAATCTTCTCGATTCTCGATGACCACGCCCCTTTATCTCGATTTTGACTGAAGTTTCAATGATAAAACACCTTGCAATATCACAGGAGGCGACATGTTGATTTTTTTCTATAGGTTCTGTGAAGCCGATACGGATCGCTGTCATTGCTACAAAATGTCTTTGTAGTTATCAGGGTGTAGGTCATATAATTGTAGTAATATTAACTAATCCGTGCTAATTTTCATATGTTAAACGTATCGTAAAGAGAAAGAAGAGGATCCACTCCGCCCGAATCAGGGGTGTGTATTGAGTGATACATCGATATAGATTTGTATCAAAATAATCCGAAGCTATTTATAAATATTATTTTCTCAGCTTTTACTTATGTTCAAACGTTAATAGTAACGTCTGATCTATAATTAACTTGTGAAAGTTTATAAATATTACAGTATTCCATGGTGAAGTAGTGAGGCGACGCGGTTATTAGTGGCAAAGGTTGCCATTTTTTTAGTGGGATATAATCGTGTGTGGTGATATCAGGGCGTGATCTCAGTGCTCCGAGTTGCTTTGAGTCCGGTCGGGGGCAGTGTGAGTGCACGGCCGCAGTGTTCTGGTGCCCGCGCGACCCGCGATCTTGATACGAGACTAAGGTAGTGTGCTGTGGTGGTTTTACAGGTTGAGATGCAACTAGTGTCAGTGAGCTCGAGGTAATAGCAGTGCGTGTTGTGGTCGTGGTGACGTGATGATGCGGTCGCAGTGAGGGGGCAGAGCGACACCACGGCTTCGTCAGTGGCGGGCGGCGCGCGGGGAGCCGAGTCTCCTTCGCAGCCCAACCAAGACACGGTGGACAACGCCACACCCACCTGCTGGTGAGTCCCACCACCTTCTACTAGCACCAAAAAGTTTTGCCACCAAGGAGTTTTGTTACTCATTCATATTCCTTGGCAGTCAAGTGAGCTGTCAGCCTATACAGCTTCAAATGTCACAGAAATACCTAGAATATACAACAGCACAACAATAAGCTACTTCAAGACAATAATTATCTTGAAGTGTACTATACCTAATTATTCTACCTACTACTTCATTTTCAATAACATTTTTTACAACACAAAACACAAATTTTCTTATTACTATACTTATCAATCTAACATTTATCTATTTAAACTCAAACTATGAAATATTACAATATTCTTGACTCTTTCTGCCTCTTCTCTAACTGTTAACATTGTATTTTCCTCATGAATCTTGTCTATTTAGGTTAGTGGTAAAACCAATTAGAATACCTTAAGTGGCTGTATTACTATTTCATAACCTTTACATTGACAATGAATAGTAATTATAAAATCGTCCTTAGATTAAATTGATTACCGTGAATGTCATACAAAATTATTGTCAGTTAGGACTTCAATGAACAAAGTAACTGGCCGGCTCTGCTTGCTTTAAGTGTATCTGTGTTCAGACTGTTTTAAAAAAGAATAAATTCAAAATCTTGTTCCTTTTTTTAAATCTTTTTATTTTTCTTACTAGTTTTGTTACACATATCTTGCCCAAATGGAGTTTTTAATTTATGTTAATGAATAGGACTTTAATGATATCCAAATGTTTTTTTTTTATAAAAATAAATACACTATCATATAGACAAATATAGACACATAGATACATATTCAAAACTTAATGAGTGGAACAAGTAAGCTTTGATCAAATTATTTTATGCTTTAGTAGTTAAATTATTACTTAAAAATTCCATACAGAGATTACATTTTTTAATAAAATTTAAATAGCTATTTTACATAACCAAAATGATCTCAATAGCAGTAGATTTTACTACATTTTTTATACCTACTTATTAAAATTATTCTATAATGGACAGTTTCTTATATGTACCCAAAGACATACACATAATACTGACATATAAATAATATTATTAATACTATGCCTTCCATATATGTATATTGTCACGCCTGTCTCCTATTGAGGTAGGCAGAGACAAATAATGAGAAATGATATGATTATAATAATAGTAAGGCTCTTATTGGTATATTCCATAGTTATCTCATAAATAAATAATTATTGAACAGGAAATTGGACCTGACTTAATAGGGACAAAGCAACGAGCAAAAATTAATGTCATACATTGTCTACCCAATTATTTAGTGAATTCAATGTTTGAGGAAAAACATATCATTATTATTATTGACAATATTACATTATTAAAACAAATAATTGAAACCGTTTAACATTTTATTGACTAGTTAAATAATATTAAAATAAATGTATCAAAGTGATTGAAATCCAAGGTCTCATGTAATGTATCTATCTAGTCTAGGGTAACATGGCTCTATATTTTAATGTCCTTACTAATATTGACAATATATTACATTAAAAAAAAAGAAAATAACAATGTCTATGGTACATACACCATTTTTGCTATTGCATTTTTTTAAGTTGTAGAAACTGTACCTACCTATTGTTTGTTTAAATATTGAACATGCATAATGCCGTTTGTTTTTTTATACTGGCATTCTATTCTACAAGATAGAATTAGGTGTAGTTACATTGAGGACGAAAAAATACAAAACTTAAAGATAAGTTCTTTAAGTTTTGTATTTTGACATAATTCTAATTCTTTTTCTTTATGGTCATTTCATTTACCTACCTATCTTAATTATGGTAATTTAGAAATATGCGGATCCCATCTAACCCGTTATTAATTGAGACATTTAACAGTAAATGTCTTGTTGCTCATATATACGGTGATGACGTTGCGAATATTATAATTAAAACAATTTCAAATCGGTTTATAAAAAAAAATATATATACATAGTTATATTAATTATGGCTAAATAATTAGCATTTAAGTTTAAGCTTTTTTTTGAGGGGGGACGATGATCGTAAACTTTGGATGCCTACCTATACTAACCTATCCCCCTTGCGTGAGGCGAGAGGCGAGAGGAAGTACTAGACTCCTACTGGGCAAAAATGCAATAGTTTTTGGTAATAGTTAAAGTACTTAACTAAATCGTAAGTAAGTGACGTGCTCCATCATAGACCGCATCATTGCTTACATATAGGCGATATAGTCGTCAAACGTCGGCCCAACAAATATAAAAAAAGTAGGTACTTAGGCATATTACAGCTTTCATTTTTTTCCAAGAACTATACCACAACAATAAATTGTTTTTGTTTTTAACATTGATTAGTAAACAATGGAGTACTAAGGTTGACATATAAAACGTAATAATATATAACCACAAAAGGCGATGATGGGTTACATAGTTGCTATGACGTACTATGACGTATGACGGCGATAGTCCTTGCTATGACTAACTACTTTTAACTTCTAAATAGGAACCTAAGTTACTGATAAAGTCTCAGTAGCTGTTATTCAAAACTAAGGGAAGGTGAAAGGATATTCAATCTAATGGCGGTCAGGAATTTTATATATTTAGGCAGTTAGTTGATTATTTGTTGGTTGAAAGGTTTTAAATCTTTAAGCAATTTATGATGTAGTTTAATATTTTTCTTCATTATAATATTTTTCAATGTGTGTCTAAAAAAAATGTATATTTTATTTAAATTATGAATTAGAGTGAAGTCAACACACTAGCAATATAATTAAAAGCACAAATGTGGTTTCAGATTCGGTGCTGCAACAAATAATTTCAACGTTAGATAACCCCTTCTTAATTTTTTTTAATTCTTATAAGCGTTGCTGTAGGACACACAGGATACACCTTTTTGCTACTCTTATTTTTTTAATCTTAATACTCTATGTATAGACATATTTAATAGGTAGGCTATAGTACCTACTTAATATTAAATTTAAATTACCAGCATTGGAGATGGTTCACATAACTCCACGCCTTTTATCCCCGAAGGTGTAGGCAGAGGTGCACATTACGGCACTTAATGTCACTGTACAATGTAACACCCACTTTTCACTATTTTATATTATGCGTCCCATGTAATACCGGAATCACATCTTCTGGACACACTCCATGCTACTACTGAGATTTTTTTAAATACCCAGTAATACTTTGCCCGGCCCGGGAATCAAACCCGAGACCCCTTGCCTGGCAATTGCACTTGCGACCACTCGGCCAACGAGGCAGTCAGACGGTTCATTTATCTAGTAAATTATGGTACGGGTGTCCATGGGCGGCGGTGATCGCTTACCATCATGTGATCTGCCTGCCTGTTTGCCTCCTACAATTAAAAAGAAACTTAACAGTGTAGTACTCTTTTTATTATATAACAGTGCTATAAATAACTTCTATATACATATATATAGTACAGTGGGTGTATATCAGCTGTGTGTCCTCCCACACATGGACATTTATAAAATTACTATACATACATACTTTTATGGTATTCACGGTGATATTGTCACCGGTTTTCTAGTAAATATTGTAGTAAACAGTTATATATAGGGAGAATTGTTGACAAATAGGTATTTGTTTTCGAGGAAATTGGATCTGTTTGTAATCCTTCAGGTGAAATACATTATCCTAATGTACAGTCAGGCATCTTATTTAGTATGCAGCAGGTATGTAAATAAAGGTTGATTCGGGACAGACAGTAGCATTATTTTTTTCTTTTTAAACAATCCTGCCACAACCTTCCAAACGCTGCAACTCCTGTAATAAGCCATGATCTACAGTAGATACAACAATGAAAACACCGGGACTGAAGACCAGCGCGTCTCAGGGATATGAATAACTGTCTTGAAATAAATCAGAAGACATTAAGTAGGTAATAGAGAAGAAAAAAAACTATAATTTTCACTTCCCTCGCTGAATCTATGCAGGAGGCAGAATGACTTAAGCCTAAAGGCACAAAAAAACTGCAGAACTGGGAGAAGAACAGTAGCTATATTAACCCATAAATCACCAAGCGGTCACCGGTGACCGCTTTCCACTAATATTACATTACATTATAGACCTTATTTGTAATGTTTAGAGACTTCTTTTGTATGACCAAATTTAGGGGGTGGATTTCAACGGGTTAAATTGTATATACCTACTAAATTGTATTGTAAATTGCTTTGTAACGAAGCCATATTTTTTGTAACTCAGTCGGCTCCAGACAACCCATGGTTACTATCTCTGTACTGAAACAATCCGACTTGGCTGACTGTACATTCCATGATATTAAGGGTATTTTGTATCTAAATATTGTGTCATCAGCAGCTAACCTAAGCATAGATCTTTGCACTCCTCAAAGGTTGACTGACAGGAAATTGTGTTAGCATTAAGTCCCCATATATGCAACTTTAGATATTTATTCATCTATACTTATCTTCATCAATCGTACTGTGGCTTATTATGATATTGGCATAATTGTCATAATAACATAACATCACGCCTTTTATCCCCGAAGGGGTAGGCAGAGGTGCACATTACGGCACTTAATGCCACTGTACAATGTAACACCCACTTTTCACTATTTATGTTATGAGTCCCATGTTATAGAGGGTGAGCCTTTCAGCCTTTTGCCATATACCTGGCACAGTTCCAAACTCCGTGCTACTACTGAAAATTATTAAAACCTCAGTAATACTTTGCCCGACCCGGAAATCAATCCCTTGCCCGGTCAATTATTAATATAATAATAAATGTTTAGGATTTTGCTTTACCAAAGTGAAAAATCCATTTGCGTAACTTAAGATTCGATTTCAAAACCCTTTAAGCTCAATACAATAGTACCATTTAACTAACAAAACCACTTGGAAAAAGTAGGTACCGAATTTCCCCAAAATGGGCCTCGTCGGAAAACAGGAGAAATCACTCAGATATCGAATCTATTCCATCAGATAATAGCTTTTAGATTGATATCAATGCAACAACTTCAAAAGTCCAATGTTACTGTT